GTCGGCCCGTTAATAACTGGGCAAATTGCTTAAAGTACGCCTTCTCGCATCTCGAGTCCAAAAGTCACTTGGATGCTGCTGCACGAGCAGCTGGATATTTGGACGTGTGTCAGAGCAAGCAGGACAGTGTGACAATGTGTTTATCCAATGCCTACAAGCAACGCACTGAAAAGAATGCACGTGCCTTGCACCATAATCTTATGTGGCCGCCAAAACGTTGCTCTTCGGGGGCACACAGACGAGTCATCGAATTTTCGAGCTTTACTGGATTTCCGTGCCGAGGCAGATACTTCCCTTCAGCAACATCTCGATACAGCACCCCGCAACACAACGTACATTGGACATCGTACCCAAAACGAACTTATTGGTTTATGTGGGGCTGAAATTTTGGACCATATAGTGAAGGGCATCAAACAAGCTAAGTATTTTAGTCTTCTTGCAGATGAAACTGCAGATGTCAGCAAAACCGAACAAGTAAGCATTCGCGTTCGGTACTGTAACTCTGACTACGAGGTGCGGGAAGATTTCCTGGGTTTCATCGGCACCAGAGATACGATTGGAGAGACTTTGGTTGCAATTCTTCAAGATGAAGTTCAAGAACTTGGTATGGATAAATGCACAATGGTCGGTCAAGGCTATTACGGCGCCGCAAGTATGAGTGGACACAAGCAAAGAGTCCAGGCCAGATTGAAATAACGTCACGAATCAGCCACCTACGTTCACTGTAAAGCACATAATCTCAATCTAGCGCTCAGTCACTCCTGCCAGGTTCCATGTATCCTCAACATGTACAATATAGCAGGTCAGATTCTCACTGCCCAAACGTTTGCAGACTTACCTCAACAATGCGGCGACCAGTGACTGTCCTCGTGTTAAACGGTTTTGCCCCACACGGTGGAGTCAGCAAGCAGACAGTGTTACATCCATCATATCTTGTTTCGAACCTTTGTGCGACACGCTTGAAGACCTTCACACGGACACAGACACAAAAACCAGAACGACGGCACTGGCGCTACATCGCGCAATACTCTCTGGAAACTTTCTCATATGCCTGCACATCCCCCAACAGTACACAAGCTCACTCAATGAAGCGCTGCAGTCTGAAACGTGCGACCTTGTTAAGGCATCAAGCCACAGCAGCACTGTTACTGCCACTCTACGGGACAAGAGAAACAACTCAACCTTTGACGACATCTGGAGTGATGCCTGTGAAGTTGCAGCTATATAGCGCCAGACACAGAGACAGAACACGCCCGCAGCAACAGCCAAGGATCACTGGAGACTGAACGCCTACATACCATTCCTGGACCACCTTGTCACTGAGCTCACAGACCGTCTGTGCAAGCCATTGCAACGGCTTCAGGCGCAATATCTTTTGCCAGACTTCATGGAAAATATGACACCTGACATGTGGTTGGAAATCAAGCAAGAGTACGAGCTCCTATTGCCCACTCCGAGCAACATCGATGCTGAGCTGGACCTCTGGAAACAACACATCCAAGCGTCACGATTGAAAGACATTTCATTAGTGAAATCAGTGAAAGCTACTGAAATGTTGTTTCCGAACATCCATGTCATTTTGGTAGTACTATTGACGATGCCCGTATCCACTGCGAGTGCAGAGAGGTCGTTCAGCGCTCTAAAACGGCTGAAAACGTTTATCCGAGGCACAATGACTGACGACCGTCTGACTGGACTGGCACTTCTACACGTGCACAAAGACATCTCAGTGAGCACGACGTCTGTAATAAAGCGATTTGATGCAACAGGACATCGACACATTAGTTTGCTGTTTGGCAAAAAATAACAGTTTACTGGTATTTTTTGGTACAAAGAAGCGTCGTATCCCTGACGTTTTTTCCACTACTTCGTATCCAACTATAAGTTACAGTGTATCACAAGGTGGACTACATTGTTCTGTTTGTGTACTGTTTTCCAAGGCTTCCGGCTGGTTTTTGCGTCGGCCCGTTAATAACAAGGCAAATCGCCTTCTCGCATCTCGAGTCCAAAAGTCACTTGGATGCTGCTGCACGTGCACAAAGACATTCAGTGAGCACGACGTCTGTAATAAAGCGATTTGATGCAACAGGACATCGACACATTAGTTTGCTGTTTGGCAAAAAATAACAGTTTACTGGTATGGTCAGCCTATACACTGTGATACGGCGGTTGTGCCAAGCCAATCCTTGTTAAAACACAATTGACTTACACGATTTGTGTTTTCTTATGTTTCACAAACTATATTCTGCTACAAACGATGCATTTGGTCAAGGTAGTTCCACAGCCAACTGATCCTGCCAACTCCACTGTTAGGACTATATACCACCTAAATCCGTTTTTATCATAAGATCTAATATTTACGATAACAGTTGTTTAAACGTGGATCTCTCAATCATATCGGAGTAAATTTGTGCTCTGCTCATAAATAAGCATAAACAATTCAATAGAACTGTTTTATGGTAAGTTAAGTTGACAAATTGAGTCAGTTCCGTTTATAAATTTGTTAGTTATCAGAAGGTGGCTATAATTAAAAATATATAGACTAGTAAAATGCAGCGTTGTTATATAAATTTGTGACGTTGAAGCAGTTTACATTATGTTACACACCATTTTGTTCCTAAATCTCTCTCGCAAGACTCACCAGATTGCATCTCCAGACGTCTACCATTCAACAATTTTCAGAGTAGAGAGGATCTATCGGTTTGCAACGATATTCTAAAGAAATATCTATGAGAACCCTCGCATCCACGTACCCATGTGCCGTCCGTTCTGTATTCACACAGAACCCGGCCTTTCCTTTCAGAATCTCTTAACATGCTTTAGTCGCATCATTTAATTGTTAGTGGGTGAAATCAAAAAGCCTCCCGTTATTTCGAATCCGTTAATGCACTACACAGATAATGCAGATTAACGTTAGGTTGTTTTTGTGCAAATCATTAGTCACATTAATATTGCGTCAAACAGTCAGCTTGCATTATAGAATGTAAACTGCCAACGCAAAGATAATCGAAGAACGCAACCGCCGTCGTCTTAATTTTTGCTCAGCCTAGTAGGTTAACCGGCTTGTTAATACTCTCAATACTGTCGATGAGTGTAACGACAAGAAATGTAACAGTTGCTATCGTATATATTTTCTTGTGGCTGTAAACGATTTACGGCAATGCATTGAGGTCACCCCCATCGAGTCATGCATCTGCGCACAGCCATAAGGATCGAGTCGTTCGAATCTCGAAATTTTCGATTGCAGCGGATTGTCCCCGTTACTATCGGTATCCTATATCACGACAGGTGCCATCTTTGATGCTGTACATACTCGGTCAGTGCCATAATAGCCTAGTCACTTTCCGATAGGGAAAGTGGCGCTAAATTCGTGAACTGTAATTGAGGAATATGAGTAATTGAGTAATATGTCGAGCCGAGGCGCGGAGAGAGAAGAGAGGAGAGGAGGAGCGCAGCTCCTAATCAACGTGCACACGGATGTGGGGTGCGTCTAGAACGCGGGTTTCACGAGTGAATATATGATAATTTACTGTAATATTATAGCATTTGCATGTATTCAGATTTTATTTTATTCTTAGCTACAATTAATCTAATGGGCATGCAGTTACGTCGTTGCCTTTCCCAGCGGATACGACCCCGGCGGTGTCTGATCAATAAGTAGTGTGATTGGTAGTGTAATGAGTAGTGCACCTAATGGCATACAGGAGAGACCACTCGAGCAATGCTCTAGCAGGTATATTATCCTCTGACATATCCGGCTCATCACTGTTATTATCAAGCAGAGGGTCGACCGCTGCTACCTGACAAAGACAGCATAAACTGGCCGCAGAAACTGTCGCTTTGGGGAGACATTTTGTATTTATCTCGAAATTAAATCATTTTATATTTACGGATGACAGCGTTGGGCGCGACGTTCGTGCCAGTTAACGGTTACCATGCCGACTGTGTCACGTGATCCACGAGACTTATGTAAACCGTCTGTTATTTAATTACATATTTTTCAATGTGATTACTGCTTATGGCGATTACGAATTTTTCATATTTACGAAACCGAAAGTAGAGTTTATCTTCCAACTCTTGTGGCGACGTAGGTAGAGCCTTCGTGTCATGTTTATTATACAGTATTGAAAATAGATGTGGATATAGATATTGTAACGCAGCGACAGCATGTCACATTCGGGCATCTTCCTATACGATTGATGATTGACGTCCTCTCACACTCATCTCGTAGCTTTCATGTCATGTGACATTCAACGCTACATAATAGGTAGTTCGCGATGTAAACACCCATCATGATCATACTTTTTTTAAGTATGTATTCATAACTAATGCTACAAAATACTGCTTCTTCAATAGCTCTATTTGAACTCGTGTTCGTCGAGAGACGCCGCGTTGAGAAGATCTGGAAGTGACTTGCTGAACCCGTCCATGCCTGTCAGCCAGTACGTTGTCATGTCACCTTTACCCTACACGACAGAAACGCATTGATTAACTCACCTTGATAGTCCTACTCGTGATTCGGGGATACTAGCAGTAAACAAGCATGTGGCTCAATGTTTATGGATCAATAATACGGACCTGAAAAATATTATCAACGTTTTGGGAAATCACTTGGGGAGCGGATCATGCATCAGCGATATCCTGTCACAGGATTGTCATCGTATAAGCTTACTACGGCAACTCAATAATTGATGCTTCTATGAAGAATGAACTATTATTCGTCGGATGTACTGGGAATGTAAGTATTCAATGTGAGTCACCTTGACATTAATGGTGCCTCGGAGTTGAAGGTGAAATCCGCCTATCTGGTTTAATATCTGCGCCGTTGATTCGTTGAGATGAATTCTGAGGGCTAGAATTGAAAAAAGAGGAAATGGTAGAAAAATTGTGGGAGAGAAGAAAAGTGCAAAAAATAAAAACAAAACGTTTTAAGTAGGGAAAAGCAACGAAAATAAAATATCCTGTTATATTTTTATCAAATCAAATACGCGTAAAATGAAAGTTACATATACTACAAAAATTACATTATTAATAGTTATATGGTTTTGCTACTACGCGTAATGATGTTCATGCGCACAAATGTACGTGCGTGCGTGCGGCGTCTGCGTGCGTTGCTGAGTGCGATGTGCGTCGTACGCATTCTTACTTAGTCCACTAGATTCCATTTCTCATCTGTTGACTTATCCCAACAGACAATATCGAGGCATCTTGAGCCCCACAACACCAGCGACTACTGAACCTAACAGAAAAAAACACACAGCCATCGTTACTCCGTATCGACACCTAATAACTATATATATATATATATATATATATATATATATATAATTAGGTTGGCAAGATGAAGATGGCATTAACTCTGGCATCACTGCTCGCGTGGGCCTATAATGGGCAGTAATAAAGTTAATTCCATATTCTTCCATTTGCTCGACAGCAGGCAGCCCTCGGTAATGCTAAGCCTTACGTGTCTTTCTGTGACCGGGAAATCCGATGAAAAAATATACGATCTGAAAAACACGCGTTACGGGCGCAACGAAATATTTGTATCAGCCTATATTGAACGCTAAACACGCACATACAGACAGGTAGAGGTCGAAAGGAAGCGAACAATAGACTGATTAGAAGAGCGAGGGACAGAGAGATAAACAGAGTGAGCGAACGGAAGAGAAAGCGAGAAAGATACAGAGAGAGAGAAAGAGAGAGAGAGAGAGATTGAGGGAGAAATGGGGAAGAATGCTATACACACACACACACACACCTGAGTGTATGCCGATGCGCAGCTGTAGGTGTTCGTCGGATCTGTGACGCATCGTGAACCGCGTGATGGCGTGCATGTCGTTGAGCGCCATTGTTGCTATCTCGGCTGCATGTCGGTGACCATTGCGCTCCGGAAGACCGCTCGCAACCATGTACGCATCACCGATAGTCTCTACCTGGTGGTGAACGCCCGAAGAAATAATATAGCAAGCTATGTAGATCTCGGTGCGAGCACCACAACCTAACAGTAAACATGTGGCGTCCCTATTCGCACTCCTGATTACTGAGCTGCTAGTTAGACGTGGTCCCTGGGCGTTCACGCAGGAAACAGAGTCTAACAGCACATGCAGCTAGCCTGCTGCATCAGGGCCTGTCTTGATGAGTCGAAACTAGACTGAGCCACGTCAATAGTGAATAATGTGTATACATTTGTTTGGTAAAATCGAGGGAACACATGCAAATCTGCACCAACCTTGTAGACGTCATGGGCATCAATGATGTCATCAAACATTGAGTATAGATCGTTCAGCAAATCCACGATCTGAAAATAAGAGTCAAGAGCTACAATACATCGCGAACTTCCTTCTTTGTGCGTGCGCGCGTCCTCGTGCGTGGTAAACTAAATTCTAAGCGCCTAGGAGTTTGTATTATACCGGCTAATTTGATATGAAACGTCAATAGTAATGCATACGGCATGCAGGGGAGCTCACGGGAAATGTGGCAACTTGAAAAGGGCTTGCTGCAAGCATTATAAATAGCGGATGTTGTGTTGTAAACGTCGATAACATTTCAGAAGAGCGACAACCAGCTTTTACATCGGCGTTATAGTTACCGCAACCGAAATTCGTCGACATTTATATACTTATATTTATGTCTATGAAATGTTCTTGACGTTTCACCAGTCACTTAGTAACTTAATTAGATAGATACTAGTCAGTCCGGTCGGTCGGTCGGTCGGTCGGTAAGTCGGTCGGTCAGTCGGTTGATCGTTCGATTGGTCGGTCGGTCAGTCGGTTGCTCGGTCGGTCGGTCGATCGGTCGGTCGGTCGGTCGGTCGGTCGGTCGGTCGGTCGGTCGGTCGGTCGGTCGGTCGGTCGGTTGATCGGTCGGTCGGTTTGTCGGTCTGTCACGTACTGCTGTCAGTCACGTAAAAAACCAAGACTTACTTCCATCGGGGTGCTTTCGGATGCGATGCGTGTGAATCCGACAATGTCGGAGAAAAAAATTGTAACCTCTGAGAAGGTCTCAGGCTGGATTACATTTCCCAGAATCAACTCTTCCGCCACGGACCTGTAATCATAGCAACCACTACAGCCACAGAAACTAGAGAAAACTCTAACGACCGCAGTGTGCGACTAAGAAGGACGGCTTATTTGTTTTTAAAGCCGCCGATACACGTATGAGCCCTTTAGGCTTGACTTCGTGGCTGAACTCTTGCGTGTCACATTAGCGTAAGGTAAGCGCAAGTCGATTACATTGTAATTACTCGCACACTGGACTAGTAAGACGGGCAAAGACGGCCGCGTCACGTCGCGTTGCCATTTGAAAACAGCATCGTTGCTTGCATATTAATATAAATGTGATACATAGATATACAGATTTGTACGATATTTATATTAATATGTTTGTATATACTACATACTACTACATACATACTAACAAGTATTATTAGCTCTTAATAATAATGTGAATATAGTACTACTGTATATAAATTAGTGTACCATAGAAAACAGAGAGAGGGAGAGAGGCCGAGATAGATAGAGGGAGAGAGAGAGAGAGAGGAAGAAAGAGAAAGCTAACGAGAGAGCGAAAGCGAAACAGAGAGGGGGAGATAGAAAGATAGAAAGAAATTGAGAGCAAAAAGGGAAGAGGAAAGAGAGATGGAGATCAAAAGTGTGTGCGCGCGCACGTGTGTGGCTAAGTCAGTAAACGAGAGCGAACTATTACTTAGGTAGCATTCTTCCTAACAGCTCGTCTGTTTTCTTCTTCTCTTCCTGTAGTTGCATAGTTCGTGCCTCGACTAGCTGCTCTAGATTATTTGCATACTGCTCCATCATTTTGATCATCTTATCCATTAGATTTATCGACCTGGCAACAAATCAGGCACGTCATCGTAAAACTGCGGTAAAACAATCGTTATGGCTTAGAAATAAAAAGTAGGGTAGTAGTAGGTAGTATATAAAAAGGTAACTGGCTGCAGGCGCTGGCGGTTACAGGGAAAGGGCATCCAGGTTCCATGCCCCCCCTCCCCCGTCACATAATCAATACCAGAAAACGAGTGGAAAAATTAATTCAACCATCAATTCTTCTTCTATTTTTTCAGCAGATTTAGCGCGCTCTAGAAGTTTAAGAAATGTCAGCTGAATCACCAACATTTGCTGCTGCCCAGGGCTCCACACCGGTGAACCCTCTGCTAGTAACAGCGCTTCCAGATCTGCATGAGGTGCTGGTTAGAGGATCGTATTAAGATACCACGGGTCTGGCATAACATACATCTCACTATAACAAATGCCTCACCCCTATATATTGCATATGAGCAATAACGATCAAATCCCGATGCAGGAGCGTAGCTAACCCATTTTGCCTGGGGGGGGGGGCAATGCCACGTACATGGTGTGTTCTGGGAAGGTGACTGCCATAGGCCGTGTATTGTATCTACTTTTTTTCTTAGCGTGGCAACTGCCACCTTGCCCCCCCCCCTGCTAGCTACGGCCCTGCGATATCCATGCGCAATGCGGCATGCTCCCTGCTAGACATGGCACGCCCATGCGCAATGTAGAGGAGTGATGTTTGCACATAGGGGGAGATCTTACCAGGCTACACCGGCCGTTACTCACTTTCCGCCGGCGATTTCCTTCAGCATCTTTCTGATGTAGTTGAAGCCAGGCCCTGAACTCGGGGTCATCGGCCCAACAGTCCTTCATGAGACTGTGCATGAGAGCGCTGGCAGCTTCCTTGGGAACCAGCGGTCGCGTTAGTGGCTCGACGCCTGTCTTCACCGCATGCACGATGCCTGTTTGTGTTTTTGTGTGAAATTACAGCTTAGTGGCATCGTAACATCGAACGCGAGCATTTGCTATGACCAGACGCAATGATTACTACTAGTATATGAATCAAAACAAGTTTAAAACGAATTAGTTTTGAATAAAAAAAACTGTTTGTTTTCATTCATTCGTGATATTATAGATCCAGACAGAAGTCATTAGGCGTAAACAATTAAGAATATATAGCTGGAATGTCCATGGTATTGTCCTCTTAGTGTAGTATATGATATGAACATGCTATCATGCTGCCGATATCGACCTGTGTATGGGTTGGCCCGGTGGACAAAAATACATTTTTATGGTCACTGCTCATTTTTGATGTCACCATAAGTGCAATGGGCAAGGAATTATATGCCCGGTATATCGAGCAATCAATCAGAGGGATTATGTCGCCATGCATACTTCGTCGCCTTTTTACAATTGCATATGTATTGGTCTGGTTATCGTGCCTGACGCTTTATGGTTGGCCGGTTGGACAATAATCAAGGATACATGTTACTATTATGGGTCACCAGGTAAATTCTATTTATGCGTACCATAAATCGACCATATGGGAAGGGGATTATATGCCGGATATAATCGAAGCCAATCAAATCATGGAATTAGTGTCCACTAAAGTAGTTCTCCCGCGTTTTGGCCGTCTGAGACGCTATTTTTGTCCCCGTGGCCAAACATTGGTTGCCCGGTGGACAAAAATCAAGTGTATGCTCTATTTAATTGCGTTCACCAGACTAAATCGACATGGGAGCGATGGTTACTTGCCCGGATTAATTCAGCGCCAGTCAAATCAAAGGATTATGTCACATAATAGCTTCGTCCGTTTTGTACCGTTAAGACGCATGCTGTTCTGCCGTTCGGCTGTGAGTACATGTAATGGTCATGTATTGCTTAGCCCGCTTGCAATTATGCTATAGGCTGCCGCCCGCTGGTTCCGCTGAGTAGACTGGTTCGCGGCGAACTGTCGTCGCGAGCGGTGTGACATTGGTGTGCGAGCGTTGAGGGCCGGATACCGGTCAATACTTATGGCAATTGTTACAAACGGGGCGACCGGAAAGTTATTTATGGGTGGGAGCATAATTTTCCTTTGTATTTTGGTATTGGTCATATCGTCTTCTGATACGGGCATGTATAATCCTCGCGTGTCGTGCCCATGTTGGTCGATTATGGGGTGACCAATAAGATATTTGATTTATGGTGACCTAATTATTGTTTTTTGTCCCGTGGCCACCAGTACACGCTCTGTACAACATGTCACGCTCTGCGCGACAGTCGGCGCGCACCGTCTAGCTCAGCGTGTAATTTAATCTCAGCGGGGGCGCCCATAGCATTTTGCAGCGCGCTAGCATACATGCCATTAATTGTCTGCAGCGAACAGCAATGCGTTCTTAGACGGTCACACGGGGGACGGAAGTTATTTATTGGTGGTCATATTTCTTTGATTTGATTTGCTTCGATTCATATCGGGATTAATCTCGCTTCCCATTGGTCGATTTATGGTGCCTAATATGCAGTCATGTATTCTTGATTAGGGCACCGTGGCCAAATGGTGGCCACCGGTGGACAAATATGCGTCTGCGGTCAAACAGGGGCACGAAGTTATTTATGGTTGACATAATTCTTTGATTGCATTTGCGCTCGATTATATCCGGGATATAATCCTCGTTCATTGGTCGATTTATGGTGACAAAATTATGATTTATGGTGACCATAAATATGCTAGTCATGTATTCTGTTTTTTTGTCCCCGTGGCCACCATACGTGCGCGGAGCTTTAGAACCCGTCATGCACGCAAAGGAATATCAAGGCGAACTCGTTATGCTAGTGCTGCTACCTACGACAGCGTGTAGGTTTTAGCGTCCTG